GCATGTCAGGAACATCAATGCTACAACAACGGAAATTGTACTGAGATCGACGATTCTGAAAGTGTGCAATGTCTGTGTCCGTTTCCATTTACTGGACCCCAGTGTTTGCAAGTCCACGATCCTTGCAAAAGTAACCCGTGTTTGAATGGGGCAACATGTAAAGCTATTGACACGTTTACTGGATCCTTTGTGTGCGATTGCGATTCGGGATATTTCGGGAATGTGTGTGGACACGCAATGCTAGCTTTAAAGAAAACTGTTTGTGATGAAAATGTGATTTGTGAAAATGGCGGAACTTGTGAAAAGTGGCAAAGAAGTGGCCAGTATTTTTGTAAATGTTTAGCAGAATTTACTGGGGAGTTTTGCGAATTAGAGAAGGGTGATGGATGCTCGTTACACACGTGTTTAAACGGCGGAACATGCGTGATGAACTCAAACAACGAACCGACCTGCGCTTGTGAGAAAGGCTACTCGGGTCTTTTCTGCGAGGATTTAACTACTAGTCTCTGTTCGCGTGTGGTATGTCAAAATGGAGGGACATGCCTCGAGCTCGATGGTCAGTTTGTTTGTGCTTGCAGACGTAAGTTTGAAGGGATCTTTTGTGAGAAGAGAGTCAGGAGGCGAGAAACTACCATAATTGTTGTGGGAAGTACCGCTGTTCAGAATGAGAGGTTGAAGGTCAAAGATGAAGGCACTTTTAAATCTAACGGTGTTCCTAGAAAAACTAATGTTTGGAGCATACTTTCTGCAAGTTTACTGATCTGGATTATTTACCATGTTATTTCCTAGCTCTTTTGTTATTTTATTTTTGTCCGAGTTCTTATTCGCTATGTCTTGTGAAAGTAACCTATATGGTAGAAGCAAAGGTATCGCAGAGGCTGGACTATTGCATGAAGAGCCCAAAGGTCCAGGGTAAATGACAGCTCCTGCCTAAATGGAGTACCAGAAAATGTCCTGGGAACTAAAAGAGACTGCAAGATGCTGACCATATCACCCATCGACCGCTGATGGGTCTATAGAAATGTAAGTCAAACATGATTAAGTCCGATTCATCACTGGCATGAAGCGACCGTCTCAAGCTCCACGGCAAAGCCTACAGGTTTAAAGAATATACCTACCTTCTTGCATGTTGTTTCTCAACTACAAGCGATGAGGGACCACCCTTTCTTTCATCCGTCGTGATACTACAGCTGATTGTCTGTGAGGCAGGAGGTGACATGACTCCAAGACCGGGCGCGAACGGATCTAGGACAATGAGGGCAGCAAAGAGTGTCTATAGATAAAGTAAATGTTATACGGGTCTTTCTAGCCTGTCTTCGCTGTTCAGCTGCCTTTTTCTAGATGCCTGGCAAGTCGCTGCGACTCTTCGGATAGACTTTTGAAATATAGACCAGTCTTTCATACACAACGGTATAATAGTGTATACAGACTCGATAATCATGCTTCAGAAGATCCAAACTGGCAAACTCCGACTAGAATTGGAAGACAGAATCCGGAAGCCCCGCTTCCAGAAGCTACCTTGGCTGTACACACTGGGACACGCCGGTGTGAAAGAAAATGAAAGAGCCGACAGATTGGCCATGTCTGCATCGGTCAGTGCAGGAAGAAGCATGGACAGGGCAGACGTACTGAATGCGATGCGTTCCAGAGACGTTGAGACAAAGGACTAAGAAATGCTCAGCCGTCTATTGACAATGAAAATCAAACGAGGACAAATATGCAGAAACCGGTATGTCAAACAATTCCTTCTGGGTTCTGTGAGCACGGAGTCACTGTTATGGCTTCTGCAACGGAGAACAGATCACAAATGACTCGGGCATGGGTGCTTAGATGTCGATACAGATAACAGACAAGTAATATAATGAAGTGCGACCAATGTGATTTACACCGATAGTCAACTGAGGCATTGATTCTCAAACTATGCGCCGCGCCGCCCCAGGTAGCCACGACCTCTTCACCGGGGCGCGCAAAATATTCAAAGACTTACATACGAATAGTCATACTTTTACTTAGGTTAGGGCGCCGTGGAAAAATTTTCATAGAGAAAAGGCGCCGCGACCAAGAAAAGTTTGAAAAACACTGTATTAAGTCATTTAAAACCAGTACGCAACACGATGTAACGTTGATAATGAGTTGTCCAATGAAATCGGGAATACCACAAATACTTACAATGTGGTTCCTTGTGTTCAGATATCTCCAAAGAGACCTGATAAACGATGAAGTTATCAGACTAGTTGTATATTAAATTTACTGTGTTATGTTATGTAGTGAGGGACCTAACTACATTCCTCGCCCTTCTTTTCTTTCAGGAAAAATCGGAGGTATCCAAATGTATAATATGAGCACACGATGTGGGAATATTATAAACACCACAAATAATTATTGAACCCAGAATTCTAATTTTACATGTATCTCATATAGCATGAATCTACACATATAGACCACATAATGAATAATGTTGGGGTCAGTGTTTGGTCTTCGATGTGAGGAACACAGTTCTGATGCACTTAAAGCGCAAAAGTGTCTTTCTTAGAATTAAATTGATTATGCGTGATTATGCTCGAACACACTTCAGCTGATAACTCGTCATTGGATGCTGAAGAAGGCGACAGAATGATTGTGGGGAATACCCCGAAGTGATGTCAGTTCATTCATTTATGCATGTATGCATTCATTAGTTCATTCATTCATTGTTTCACTCATTGATCATTCCTTCATTCTTCTTCTTATCGTTCACCAGCAGGAAACTCCGGAGGAAAGTTATGTTTGTTTGCCGACTCCTGGACTATGGTCTTGATACAGAACTTGAGTTTTCCGTGCACATCCGTTTTACAGATCTGGCTTTTTGTTTGTAGAATGTTGGTTCCATACCTCTCAAGCTTTAAAATATTGTCTTTACATCGAGTCGGATTCCCCCCCCCCCCCCTTTTTTCAGGTCCACCCAACCTAAAACGGATACCAGGTAATGTCTTGGGAAGTAAAGGCAGTGGTTTTAATGCCGATCCATCAGATACTGGTTGGCCTGCAATACCGATGCGTCACTTGGTAAAATGTTATCTTTTGCTTAGTTTTTATACCACAGCGTAACTGTTATTTAGGGTGGAATGGGGCTTCTAATGTTTGGTCTTGTTAAATTAACATCCGAGCTGTGGTTTCTACTCGAGTCATCGAGTGTGAATATTTCAGGAGCTAATCCCACATGAATTACAGTTACCTATTTACCACTTCTAAATTACATTCAAATTCAAAAACCCAATGTTTCCCCATTTAGAGGTTTGAGGTTTGAACAACGGATCAACATCGTGGCACAAGGGTAGTAACCAGTGAGTGCTCCGTTCTTCTTCTAAGTTAAGTCTGAGTCTGAAGAAGCTCAGCACAGTGCACAGGCTTTGTAGCACCGGCGAGGATCCTGAAGTACTTTGGGTAGATGATTTTTAACTCAAAATTGTGCACGGGCAGCGCCGTTAGGCTACTCTTTTTCGATTTTCAACTGCCAAGGGATTGTTTACGTGCTCACCAATGCACACGGGCGTCCGATCTCACTACCCAGAGACCAGGGGGAATTACTAGAAGTCCAAGTCCACGTGAAAAAAATCCCAGCCCTTACCGGGGATTGAACCCGGAACCTCAAGCCCTCGAGGCGGACATCATGCCTCGAGACTAAGTAGCCCCCTTTTCCGTGTTAGAAAGAATGCCTTGTGGCACCATACCATGCATGGCATACATTCACAAACAGAAGACAGTAACGTGGAGCATAACGAAGATCAAGAACAAGATGGAAAGATCAAATCAGAGAAACTCTACAACAGCACAATGTATCTATGACCTTGGCACAAGAAGAGCAAGAAACAGAAACGCGTGGTAACACTTTGTCGCTGGTCGTGCGGTCCTGGTGGGGTTGACCTGACTCGTATACAGTACACAAATAATAATATGTAAATACTTAGCAAACATTTTTCTTCTTATTCTTTTAGTAAATACCATGGTAGTAGTTTGTATCTAACCAAAACCTTCTGTCTCGTGAGATTTTTATGTTTTCCTACACAGATGATCTTTATTTTGAGCAAGCATTCACTATACAGTAATGTGTTTCCTGTGTCTGAAAATGGTAACTTAAAGACTCCCCCCCCCCCCCCCCCCCCCCCCCCCCCCCCCCCCCCCCCCCCCCCCCCCCCCCCCCCCCCCCCCCCCCCCCCCCCCCCCCCCCCCCCCCCCCCCCCCCCCCCCCCCCCCCCCCCCCCCCCCCCCCCCCCCCCCCCCCCCAACTTCTTCAATACTAAATATTTTTTACTAAACTCTTTCTTACTCAAGGAATGTGTATTTTAGATTACTTCAGAGTAAAGGTGATGAAAACTAGCGTGACTGTAGCCAAGCTAACACAAAGAAAATATATATATATATATATACACATATATATATATATATATATATATATATATATATATATATATATATATATATATATATATATATATATATATGTATGTATGTATGTATGTATATAGTATATATATATATATATATATATATATATATATATATATATATATATATATATAAATGGATATAATTTCTTGCTGTTAGCTTGATTATATATGCGATATAACAGTGGATCGGTAAAGTGGCCCTCATCACAACGGCCGCCATTACTTCTCACGACTTTACCTGGTACCCATTTTTAGGCTAGGTCGACCTGAGAGCTCAACCAGTTTTGAGAAAGGGGGAGGGGAAGGGTTGGGGAGGATTGATGTGGATTTGAACCTTCGGGAGGTGTGTGTGTGTGTGTGTGTGTGTGTGTGTGTGTGTGTGTGTGACTCAGATATTACTTAGAGTGTTATTAGGTAGTCTTTATAGTTTTGTATGTAAAGTCATAATTATCTGCACAGTGAAAGCAATAAAATTCAGTGTCTGCTATGTAGTAAAACTCTCACTACTGTCTTTATTTACCACTTTTTTTAAGGGTAGGATGGTCGCGAACCTGGGGATTTAATACCGCTTGGCTAGTGCTGTCACCGTGGACTGTGCAGGTTACGATGTTTAATTTGCCCCATCCCCCCTTCGCCCGCTTCCTTTTTCCTCCCGGCACAGAAAAACTGCTTGTTTGTTATTGAACAGTAAAAAGTAGTGATCAGGTTTCATGCTACTGAGGTATGGGCCGTGTAGTGTTAGTTAAAAAAAAAATTACACACACACACACACACACGCACGCACGCACGCACGCACACACACACACACACACTTATTTTCTTCCATTTTTATCACCAATCTGTATTGAGTGCAAAAATTATTCCAGTAGACGACAGCCATTTGCTGCATATTGCTCTACGATTGACATTTTTTATGACTTTGTGTACTTCGTTTTTAAAATTTGTTCTACATACAAAGTGTAGTGAAACTTTACAAACACCCTGAAGTTGCTCTTTTTTGAGTTAAAATAGAAAACACAGAAGTTGAAGTAACAGCTGCGACAGAGAGAATAATATAAGAGAAAGATTAGCCGTAAGAAGTTGAGGATGCAAAACTTCAATAAAGTGATCAATCAACGTAAACTGAGCTGCTTAAATTGACTATCCAAGGGCAGCTATACAGACCCGAATAACCGGCCCTTTACTTACAGGACACTGTTCGCTGTCTTCATTGTCCTAGATCAGCGGTTCTAAACCTGTGGTTCGCGACCCGATTTGAGGTCGAACGATCCTTTCACATGGGTCGACTAAGAGCATCGGAAAACACATATTTATTGAAGTTATGAAGTAGCAATGAAAATAATTTTATGGTTGAGGGTCACC